CGCCACACGTGGAATCCGCCCGCGGTGGCTTCCCACCAGCAGCCTGCCCCCGTTCCTGTGCCCGTCCTGCCCGCGGGTACTTGTCCCTATGCGGTCCCCACGCTGCTCAGCCCCCTCCTGCCGCAGCATCCTTTAAACCCAAAACGTTTCCATGGCAACGAGGGAAACTGTTTTAATTGCAGTTCACATCGCGTAAGGAAAAAATGACTTAGGAATCAGTAAAGGCACTGTGCTTTTCTGGGCTGGCAGCCTCTCTCCCTGCCTGCAGCCTGGGGGGGTGGGATAGCTTCGGAAAAAAATGTCCCTTCTCACAACTGCCCTACAGCAGCAAAATAATAATGATGTGTTATAATTTTTTTTTTTTTTTTTTTTTTTTTTTTTTTTTTTTTTTTTTTTTTTTTGTGATTAAAACTAGTCTTTTAAGGCATTTTTAACTTAAGATGTTTGTATTTAAATCAAGATGCTATGGAAAAGGACTTTGGGGTACTGGTACTTCTGGCGCTTGCAGCCCAGAATCCCCCAGCAGCCCGGGCTGCACCCCCAGCTGCGTGGGCAGCAGGGCAGGGAGGGGAACCTGCCCCTCTGCCCCGCTGTGGGGAGACCCCCCTGCAGGGCTGGGGCAGCTCTGGAGTCCTCAGCACAGCAGAGACAGGGACCTGCTGGAGCAGGGCCAGAGGAGCCCCAGCAATGACCTGAGGGGGGAACCCCTCTGCTGGGAGGCCAGGCTGAGAGAGCTGGGCTAGGGAAGCCCAAAGCAAAGGAGGCTCAGGGGAGACCTTATCACAGACTTCCAGTACTGAAAGGGGCCTATAAGAAAAGTGGGGGACTTTTTACCAGGGCATGCAGTGATAGGACAAGGGATGATGACTTTAAACTGAAAGTGGGTAGATTTAGATTAGATTTAAGAAATTCTTCACTATGAGGGTGGTGAGACACTGGAACGGGTTGCCCAGAGAGGTTGTGGGTGCCCCATCCATGGAAGTGTTTAAGGCCAGGCTGGACGGGGCTCTGAGCAGCCCAATCTAGTGGGAGATGTCCCTGCCCATGGTATGGGGGTTGGAACTAGATGATCTTTAAGGTCCCTTCCAACCCAAATCATTCTATGATTTAAAGCAAAACCAAGGGAGAGGAGGGGCAGAAGAAGAGAGAGGTGGCGTGGCCACAAACCCCTTCTCCTTGCCCTCTCCCTGCCATGTCTAGTGGTCTCTGGGCACATGCTGACCGTGAACTAAGGACATGCTCTACACTCAGCACTCCTCCAGCATGAACATCCCCCATCTCAAAGCACAGAACTGCCGTTTCCAGGGAGCCTTTGTGGGTGATTTTTGGCACTGGGAAAGATCCTAGAGAAGCCCAAGTCCAGCTGGGAAAAGGGAATGTGATCTGAGGAGGGTTCTCCTTGAAGCTGTCCAGTTCTTCTCTGGGTCAGGGGAAGCAGGACCAGCCTGAGTGCTCTAATCAGGATTTCCCTGTAGATACAACTGGAAAGTCCTTGCAAGAGGGTTTCAAATACCACCCATGGGGGCAGAGGCACCCGATGGGAAGGCTTTTGTCTCATCCTCTAATTCCAGATATCATCCTAACTCACTCCTCACTGCCTGCCAGGTTTTGCAGCCTGGCTTTGGGCTGTTAGGAATAGCACATTGTGTGTAGCTTTGGGCTGTGCCAGCTATTCACAGCTCCTGCCAAACAGCATTAAACTCCCCCCCCCGCCCGCTCCTTTGGTTGCCCCTCACTCCCAGCTGGGTTGGAAAGTCAGGGACAAGCATCCTTAGATACTTGGGCTGCCCTGTAAAGCTGTGGGCACGTGCCACAACGCAAGCCCATGTCTGGTGGCTTCCTATTTCCTCCAACCGAACTGAGCCATTGTGGAGCTTATTGGAAGGCGGGCCTGGGAGCTGCCCTGTGTTTAATCTCCTGCTGTAAAGCCCCACTCTGCTGTTTGCAGAGGGAAGCCAGCCCCTGGGCTGTGGGGTGAGGGAGAAGAGCATGCAGGGGGTGGCATTTCTCTGCACACACCTGCCTTATGTCTGATTTGGGGGTCAGTGACATTCAGCTCTCTTAGGTCTTCCCCCAAAAAATCATCTGTATGTTTTACCAGGCATGGAAATGAGCTGTAGGGTTGTGTGAAAGCCAAAAGCTTGGCTCTACCTTCTCTCCAAAGAGGGTTTTCACTCTGTGGCTGAGGATTACACATCTTCCTGGACACTAGAAATAGCATGATCATCCTTGCAGCTCCCGGAGCTTGGCTCAGCTCTGCCCTGCTGAGCATGCTGAGAGGACCTTACTCTCCCAGACTGGGCTGTGGGGGTAGGAAGGAGAGGGCAGAGCAGCCGTGCTAAGCTGACAAACAACCCCCCTGAGACGCTTCACCATCAGCATGGGCTGAATTCCCCAGTGGGACCATGCTGGCATAGTGCTAACGTAATAATGCGGCTCTGCTTGCGGGGAGAGAAGGAATCAGACGCTGCTGTGAAGATGCAACAGGATGAGTGCTCACCATGAGCTCACTGCTGTGGCAGGGAAGAGCACGCTCAGCCCCAGGCGTCAACACTGCTGCTCCCCAGTGGGATTGTGAGCCCTTCTGACAAGGCACTGCAAGCAGCAGCCTGAGTCCGACTGGCCTGGTTTATCTATCCCAGCAAATGGATCCCTTTGGTGTCCCTCCATGGTAGCTGGTGGTGCACGCTGGGCCAAGAGCTCAGCACACCAGCACATCTACACTCCTAGCCGCTGCTGAAAAAGTTTTTTGTTTCCCTCCAGCCCCCTCCTGCTTGTTCCCTGCTGGGCTGTGGTGGATGGCAGTGCCCATGATGCCACCCTGCTCCTTCCAAGGGCCCAATCCCACCCAGAGCTGCGCCGCTTTAACAGAGAGGGGACATGAACATAAAAGGGACAGCGCCATGGGGCACCTTAAGCCCCCATCAGGACGGAAGGACCTCCTTCCATGCCTGGGCAGCTGGCCGTAGCCCCACGGCAGCTCCTCGCCC